TATATTTAGAAATATTTTTATCTAAAGTTTTTTTTAACTGATTTTATTTGGCCTTTTATGTTGGGCTTGAATAATTTCTATCAGGTCTTTCACTATTAAGAATATTATGTTTATCAATTAATCATGGCCATATTAAGTTTTGTCATCTGCAGATAAGTTTTTACTTTGCTGATTTGCTGAAAAAGTTTGACGAAAATATCTCAACAAAAAGATGGACTATATTGGACTTGCTAAAAAAAGACTGTGACTAGACTCAATAAAATTTCCAGAGCTCCTATGCAGAAGCTGATGAGTTTGCAGACCCGCGGCTGATCCAGAATCACATGGAACAGAAATTAACTACATAAGACTGAGTAAACTAAAGGAAACTATGTTTTTTAAATATCGCTGCTATTTTAAGGTCCTAATTTCTGGATATAAGAAATCATTCTCCTTTCTCCTAAATTATCTAACTAATGCATTTAGATATGGTAACTCTTGAATTAGAAGTTCCTGTTGGTAAACTTAGCCAAGTTGTAGATACCATAACCAGAGAACTGTCTGAAATTTGAGCTATGATTTTACAAAATAGAACAGCATTAGATTTCCTGTTAGTCTCTTAAGAAACAGTTTGTGCCTCAATAAATCAATGTTGCTGTATTTATATTAATACTCTATCTGAGATTTTGCAGAATGTAGTTGCTATTGAGGCACATGAAAAGCAGTTACTGATGCTGCATATGTAGAGACAAACACCTCATAAGGTTTGTTTCCTTGGTTCAAAGACCTTAGGGTCATGGTTTCATTGGTTATTTCAGACAATTGGCCTAATATAATTGTTAGTGTTTCTGTTTTATTTCCTAGTTTGCTGTATGGTGCCTGGGATCTTAAAAGCCAGATGATGTCCAATTACCATTTGTTGAGCATTTTTGATAAGAGATTCTATAACAAGATCATGATCCAAAGGAAAGAATGATGAGAGAGTTGTATATAATTCTCCTGGAATCCAGATTTCTGGCTTTCAGGGAGGTTGAGGCAACCCACATGGGATATTTGCCTTTGGGTTTCCTCTTGAACCTTAAGCTTCGAGAAAAATACTGGTTCCCGAAGACACTTTGAGTCAAACAATGGTCCAGATAACCTAGTAAGACCATTTTGCTCTGGGTATTGAGCTTTTTTTTTTGAAGAATTCCGTCAGTTTTAGGAAACTAACTTCAAAGATCAGACTGAGAGTTATGTTAAGGGTAAATTAGTAATCAGTTTAAGCAGTATTTAAGACAAAGTCATATGAAATACCTGTGTAATGTTTGTAATCAAACTGTCACCCTCTTACAATGCAGAAAATTATGTATCTTAAAGAAACCAGACTCTCAGAAGAGATCGACCTCATGGCTCAGACTCCGTTTTGTCTTTGGTTCCATTTCTGCTTCTGAGAAAGTGACCCATGACTGTTAACAGGTAAACCAAGCTTGCCTTTGGGAAGAACACTTAGAATATTTTAAACAGACTAACTGAAGACCTCCTACAGGAAAGGGTCATCCTGTATTATCTTGCTAATCATTAGTTCTCTGATGAAAACTTGTCACATGTAAATTTTTCTATACTTTCTCTTTCTTCTAGACAAACTTTGTGTGCTCCTAATGGATGTATGTTTCTGTGTGATACATCCAACTATACTAATTTAGATGATCCCTTTCCAAATGACAGTGAATTTGTGTGGGCAATCTCATTTAGATTCCTGACATATGTGTGGACAATGCACTTTGGAAACTTTAGAATTATCTTTAAGTATTCATAGTAATTATGCTAGTAAATACTGAAAAGGTAATGTTTAAATTGTAAAATGAAAGTCAGAAGAAAACCCATTGGTCCAACATTCAGGGTATGGTTGGTAGCTTTAATTCCTACTTATGGTATATGTGAGTTGGAGAAATCTTTAAGAAAATTTGTCAGTCACTATGGGACAAATAACAGATGAGATAGAAGCACAACAGTGATCTCTGATCTCATAAGCCAAGGTGACATGAGATAACAAAATAGCCTTGGACTTTTTATTATCCCAAGAAGGTGGAGTCTGTGCTGTAGTAAATACCTCTTGTTCTACTTCTCCCGTGTTATTTATCCAAATACAACAAGATATACATAGAATTAGACAAAAAGCTACTTGGTTACACATTGTCACACCCTTACAAACACCAGGTTTGTTTGGTTGGTTACCATCAGAAATAAATACACGGGCTAGATCAGTATTACTAGGAATAGTAATATTCTTAGTCAACATCCTGATAGTATTAGGCATAATAAAATTTATCCTCTATTGTCTTACACACATAAAAGGCAAAAGAAGGCGTCAGGCTAAAATGTTGATGTACATTGAGTCTGCTCACTCCGGCAATGCTATTGATGAGAACACGCTCTTACTTAATAACCTGGTGAAGAACCAGGTGATATCCAGTGGAAGACCAGCACCGTGAGTTTAAAGAGCCTGCAATGGCCGCCATCTAGGAGCTCGACTAAGTCCAGGTATTGATCATCGATGTGTTATCTCCAATCTCCGATCAAAATGAGGGACTGACAGGAAATAATACTGGAGTTATTATTCCCTCTCCTTGAGCATACAGAATGTCACCCAGCTGGAGCTCGGCTCACAAGGGCTCACAAGGACTCTCAAGGACACATCAACTGGGCCCTGAGGTATAAAGACAATAGCTAAGATAATCTTGGAAAATATCTTTTAGGGAAACTTTCACATAAATCCCATGAAACAGAACACGAAAGATTTTCCACTCTTATCTTTTTCTATTAACATTTAGCGACTAGGAATTTGTTGGACCAATGAAGACCCTGCTGACTTTCGTAACTGAAACCTGTACCAATGATTGTTAAGAAAGATGATTCAAAACGTAAGATTACAATTTCTAGCCAATCAGTGAAAAAGTGATGCTTTCAATGATTCTACCCATTTTGTGATGTTGATATATACTGATGGCTCTGTAACTGTTCTTGGGATTTGGGCAGACATGGCTGTGGCAGCATGCTTCTCCATTTTCCCATTTTGCCTATTCTGTAATATTCTTGGGACTCAGGCAGACATGGCTGTGGGAGCATGCTTGTCCGTTTTCCCATTCTTGCCTATTCTGTAATATTCTTTGGACTCAGACGGACATGCCTCTAGCAGCATGGTTGTTTGCTTCCCACTTTTGTCCTTCTGAATATATGCCAAATAAAACTTTCTTTTTACTTTAGGAAAAAAAAACCCATTGTTCAAAAAGAACAAACTTCTAATAGATGCAACAACATGAATGAATCTCAAAAACTTGCTGAGTGAAAGAGCTTCATACAAAAAAGTATATAATGTATGATTCCACCTATGTTAAGTTCTAGAACAGGCTAAACCATGCTGGAAAAAAGAATCAGAAAAGCGATTGCCTCGGGTGGGGCTAGGGGATGTGGAGGGGAACAACTGGGAAGGGCACAATATAGTACATAAAGACAATGTTCTACATCCTACTTTGGTGAGTAGCATCTGGGATCTTAAAAGCTTCTGAGCAGCCATCTATGATACAACTACTTGTCTCTTCCCCTCTGGAGCAAAGGAGAGTAAAGAAAACCAAAGGTTCAAGGGCACAATTAGTCCAAGGGACTAATGGACCACATGAACCACAGCCTACATGACTCTGAGACCAGAAGAACTAGATGGTGTCCGGCTACCACTATCAATTTCTCTGACTGGGATCACAATAGATGGTCCTGGACAGAGCAGCAGAAAATTGCAGAACCAAAATTCAAATTCACTAAAAAGACTAGACTTATGGGTCTGACGGAGACTGGAGGAACCCTTGAGACTACGACCCTGAGACATCCTTCTAACCTGGAAATGAAGCCATTCCCGAAGACCACCTCACAGCCAAACAATAGACAAGCACATAAGATAAACATTAACACCCAAGAGGAACGTATTCCCTAGAACAATCAATTATACAAGATCAAAAGGGCATTATCTGCCAAAAAGCAAAGATGAGAAGGCAGGGAGGGGTAGAAAATTAGGGCAAAAGAAAATGGGGAACCCAGGGAGGAAATGGGGAGAGTGCTGACAAACTGTGGGGAATGAAACCCAGGTCATGGAACACTTTATGTACAAACTATCGAATGGGAAACTAATCTGCTCTGTAACAGTGAAGGTGCATTTGGGAAGCCTGTTGGAGAGCTCAGCTTGCTCTTCACCATCATACTTGCTGCCTGGGCTTACACCACGTGGAGGGGGGCCCTAGATGCTAGAACACCCCAGGCCCGCTAAGCCAGCTGGAGCGCCTCCATAGGAGCTGCTGGGGGTTTGTTAGTGCTTCTATTGAGAAAAAATATGCAATGCGGTATTTTTGGTTTCTGAGCAAAAACTAAGGAAGGTATGAGCCTTGCGAAGGTGCACAATGTGCTAACAAGGAAGTCCATTACTAAGCACCTCCCAGCTGCCTTCCTGTGCCTGGTTATGTCCAAAGCTGCACTCAGGGGCTGGGAGAGGGCCTATCCCACCCACTCCACATGGCCACATGAGAGAGAACTACTTTGGTATATAGACACATTTGTGTTTTCTAGAATTCTCTGGCATTTAACTGTTTGTGCCACACAGGGGGCAGGAAGCGGGATTTGGAAGAATGGCAAACACGGAGGGATCGATGTATGCACTGCGGCAGTCATGCCTCATGGGGGGACGGCACACAGGCTGGTTTCTTCAGTGACGAGACCTCGTCAAAGAGCAAAGCAGGAGTGTCTGGTAAACCAAAGTGTTGGCAGTTAGTGATGATTTCACACATACACACGTGAGAAAAAAATCTTTTAATGTAACAACTTCCTCATGAACAACGGAGACTTTTTACCCCTGGGCAAAGCAAAACCAAAAAACACCAAACCGTTGCGTCAATTCCGATTCATGGCGACCCTACAGGACACAGAAGAACTGCCCCATAGGGTTTCCAAGGAGTGGCTGGTGGATTTGAACTGCTGACTTTTGGTTAGCAGTGGAATGTTTAACCACTGCGCCACCAGGGCTCCACTGTGCAAAGTAAAGGAGCTACAAATGAGAACTTTGGGATAAGATGGCGTGTGTATGCCAGCATCCTCATAAACAGCTGCTGGTAAAAAAAGTAAAGGAGACCCTGAGGGAATGTCAACAACACCCTGTACACTAGAAGAGCAAGGGCTGGCAAAGGTGGCTCAGGGCTAGCTGAATTTTGAACTCCTATGCCTGTAGAGTCACACATTTGGCCATAGCAGAAGCCTGGACCCAGCACCATAGCCTACCCAGTCAGACCGCAGCCGAGGGGGCCTGGAGCTACAGGACAACCCGGGAAGAAGACCCTCTCAGTACCGGCTGGGGTATGGTAGAATTCAGGTCAAAGGGAAAGCTGGACCTGCCCACAAGTGCTGCCCCACCAAAACCTCCACAGCTTCACTCCTCACTCATTGGGACATCAAGTCTTCAGGTCACAGAACGGATGCACCCTCAGCTGCAGGTCCTACAGCAAGCACTTACTGAGCACTGGAGCCAGGCCCTGGACTCTGCGCTGAGAGACAACAGTAAACAGTCAGACCCAGTCCCTGGCTCACGGGGATCCAGCCAGGTGACCAGAGCAGTAAGTGCTGTGCCAGGAAGCACAGAGAAGCTACAGGGCCCCATGTAAGGCAATGAGATGACCATGCGTGTGAAGCCATCTGACAGAGGGGGCACTCCACACATGTCCACAGACTTCCCACTGCTCCTCCTGGGTTTCCACTCTCATCTAAGGGCCCTGCCATCCTTCCACTCACCCACGCTGAACGCTGGAGCATCACCTTTGACCACCCCCCAGTATACAGCTGTTACTGAGTCCGTCCCGGGCCTCCACTGAGGCTGTGAACCCAGCTCTGGTTCCGCCAGGCTACAGTCCTGGCACCTGCTCACCCCACTGCACCCCTGCGCAGTCACACCCCTCTCCTAGGGCAGCTCCCTGCACCCGGTCCCTGTGTACCTCTAGCCACTTGAAGTCATCTTCCTTCCAGACCAGATCAAATACCCTGATCAGATACTTGAGCATTGCTTTTGTAGTCAGGAGAGAAAAAAAAACACTACAATTATTTCCATTAAACGGAGAAAACTAGGTCAGATCATACCACTCTTTTCAAAATACTTTAGCGTCTCCCGATCAAAGAATCAAGTGCACACCCACTACACGATGACGCTGGCCGCCCTCTAGCCACCCCAGCCCCTCCTACACACCCACATGCTCCCTCTCTGACCTGCACCTCCACGGCAAAGTCACATGGACAGGGAACACTCACTTATGTGCCTTCATGCTGCACCTTAGCCTAGAACACCTGAACTACATACCAAAGTCTTTACAGCCATCTCCCAGTCTGCTAACCGCGCCCTTCAGGCCTCTATGAGCACTTGCTTCACCCTGATTCTGGAGTTTTCAACTGGAAACTCCCTGAAAGCCTTCTGCAGCTCTGTATCCCCCACACAGCTTAGAATCAGTCCTCAAACTGGGTATGTGCTCCAAACATTATGTGCTAAACAGAAGAACAAATGCGTTTTATCATACTGAACTATTACAAGAAGATAAAATATAGTTCAAGGAAAAGACAGGCATTCCGTGGAAGTAATGTACAACCCCTGGAAATACCAAAGTGTAAAGAGTGGGTTCCAGCTGGACGAGGGCTGAATGGTTGTAAATGTACTGCAAGCTCAAAGCACAAGTGTGGCAAGGCCTCACTGGATACTTCTCTGCTGCCTTCACTTCAAGATGGTGACCTGAGCACACACACCCTTATATTCCCTAACACTTTAAGTCCTCACAAAGGAGGAAAGATATACGAATATAAATAAATCCATAACACTTTTTTTTTAAAGTGTCAAATCTCAGTGGATTTTCCCATCCCAAATCCTTAACTCCAGCCTCCTCGAAGACTCCTTCCAGCTTAGGGCAGCCCCCTCCTCTCCTTCAGTGAGCAGCAAGCCTTCAGCTCACAGGGAGAACACATACCTGGGCGTCAGTAATGTCGATGAAATTGAACCTGTCGGTGAGGTGGAGATAGTGAATGTTGACAGGAAGGCCCAGAGCTTCCAGTGCCTCGGGGTGACTACGCAGGTGCTCCAATGCCGACTGGTAATACGAAGTCTTGGAAAACATTTCTAAATGGGAGAGACAGTTGTTACTTGTTTTGTTCATTGAACCTGGTCAGGTAGAGTCTCTGTAGGAAGTTAAATAATACAATTCACATACAGGGTGGAAACAGAAACAGAAATTTCTGAAATTTATGGATGGAAGAATAACTTGGGACCACCTACTCTAAATCGCCCACTTTGTACACTCCAAAACCAAGGCACAGAGGGGCAGCATCAGCAGGGACGTGGTGTGACCTTGAGCAAGGCACTTGACTTTTCTGTGTTTCAATTTCTTCATCTACTCACTAAAGGGTTTGACCAGATCCTCTCTAAGTTTCCCTTCAGTTTTAAAACCCTGGGACTCCAGGCTTTGCTCAAGTGATAATGCTGGTCAGAGGCAGGGCTGGGGCCAGAAACCAGGACTCCTCACTTCTAAACAGTGCTCATTCACTAAGATGAGGGGCCCAATAGGCCAGCACAAAGCACACAGACCACAACATCAACAAAATGCTTGGGACAAGAAATAGGACATGAAAACACTCATTTGTAAGGTTTACAGAAGTAAGCATTTCATGCAGAGAAAGTTTATGAACTGTTCTCGGTACCGAGCTCCCCTCTTAGCCCAAAGGCTGCAGGGACTCCAGGAAATGCTCCCCTGAAGAGACAGCAGAGCTAGGCTCCCCAAGCAAGGTTTTAAGTTGGGCCATAGACGGCACTTCGCTCGAATCAGTGGATCACAGTAATAGAAGGTGAAATGGCCGGTGCTGCTTCTCAGGAGGGGGGCTGGGGGATGCTGCCAAGGTCAACAGGGTGCCAGCCACAGTAGCATGGTGGCGGGGTAGGGGGAGAGCTCATCTTTACTGAGTGATCTCCATGGCTAGGCAATGTCCTGAATATTCTCACGTCAACCTCACACGTAGGCACTGTTAATAACCTCATGGCAGAGCTGGGATTCAACCCAGGGAGGTGGCTGCAGAGCCCGGATCCCAGCCACCCAGCTCACAGCCTCTGTTGGTGATGACAGCCTCCTAAGCGGCAAGGCTGTCAGACCAGACGGCTGATCCCTGACCCCTAAATACGCCTATTGCTGTTCGTGTCCTGCCCCTGGCCCTTTGGCAGAGGGGATGGAAGGCTGAGCTATCCCAGTGTGAATCATCCCTGGGAAGCCTCCTCCCCAGTCACCTGCAGACCTAGGGAACTCTGGCCCACTCTGGCAGGTGGAAAGAACACTGTGCCCTGCCTGCCCGTCAGCCAGTGACATGCACTCACATTCTGGGGAGAAGCGAGGCGCCGAGCCGGGCAGGCATAAAGGAGACACAGACAAAGTCAGTCTAGAAAAAATGTCTGCAGCTTCGCCACCAATAGCACTGAAATGACCTTAAATGTCTCAGCTGCCACAATCACTGTGGCCTGTCTTTACAAATTCAAATCCGGGCACAGTGGGGCTAGAAGCGGCATCTGTCAGGATTTTGCTGCACTGAGCTCGGCTCTTATTTTCTGCTCTCACCAGAGTCCGCTGCTCAAGGTCCCCTCCTCCAGTAAATCAACAGCGGAGAACGGCAGGGCAAACAGGCTGACGACACTTGAGAAATAGCCCAAGTTTTCCCCACCCGCGAACCATCTGGTATCCCCCTTCCCCCTCTTCTCGCTTTAAAAAAAATCTCAGAAATCTTGACGGATCCCCCTACGTGTGCACTGAAGTGAAAGCCCCAGCTTGCTCTGCAAGGTTTCTTATGCAAATGAGTCTTGCTCCTTTTTTACTGGCACTTGTGGCTTCTAGAAAAACGGGTTACAGGCTGAGGAGGCGGTGGCAAATGGAAAGGAGCACTGGCTGCAGGAAAGACAAGGCCTGGGTCACCAGCGCACTCCTCCTCGCTCTAATCTGCTGAAAGCATCTGAAGTATTTCCCCCGACAGAGGAGCTGGAGCAGAGAAGGGGAGGACACGAGGCCTAAGGTGGTCTAGTTCACTGGAGGTACTTTGTGTAAGATAATACACAAGGGTGCTGCCCCCGCCAGTAACCACGCCAGTGAAAAGGAACAGTTTTCCCAGAGGCACTGGCATCCTGCTTTCTGGAAACCAAAAAAAAAAAAAAAGACAGAAAGAAAAGATGCGAATTTATTGTAAGATTCAGGTTTGTGCCAAGGGCCTTTGCCTGGATTGGGTCCCACAGGGAAAGACCGCAAAGGAGGAAGCCAGCAGGGAGGCGAGGCCATCCTCCCTCGCCTGCTTCCGTAAAGCCAGGGCTAGTTGGGAAGCCAGAACGAGAAAGCCCTCCTGGGGGGTGGCCGGTGTCCAGCCTAGGCCTCAGGGGCCCTGCCACCCTCCAGCCTCGAGCACAGTGTGAGTATTCAGCCTGCTGCCCTGACAGACAGAACCCAGCCTGTATGCCAAGTCCTACACGGCCAGGAAGCCCAACCACTTTGTCTCAGGCCGGCTGGTAAACAGGAAGCTTATCCTTTTGTGGCAACAGCTTGTCTTGTAAGCCTACGAATGGACGGGGGCTGTCACTAGCTGCTTTCTTTCATATTTTGAAAGATGCCCCACCCCCTGGATGGGGAACCTTGGTTATGACTTTCAGGCTGAATGAACAGATGGAGGGAAGCCAGCTCAGCAAACACAGGGCACTGTACCCATCCTTGCTGTTAACTCCCGTCCGCTCAAAGCCAGGGTGAGGCTGAAGTAGCACATGTGCCTTGATGGAGCCAATATCCTCCTTCCTTGTGGCCATATAACCCCTGCTCACACTGGCCTGGGCAATTCTGGAAAGCTGTCAGATAACCAGCCACAAAACAGAGAGTAGGTCACCGGCTCAGATCGGGGGCCATAATTCTAACGTCTACAGGGGCCAGATGAGTCACATAAGTGAGAAAAGCAGTGCTGCAAAGTGAGGAACACATGCCCTCGCCAGAGGGGGCAGCACCAACCCAGCCCCAGCTAACTGCAGCCACAGGGGCCAAGTCTTGGTGGAACTTCCAATTTCCCAAGAGGTGCCAGAAATCAGGACTACTATATGAAATGACCCAAATTCCAAATGTTGACAACCAATTTTTTTTTTTTTTTTTAAAAAGACCTAACAAAATACAGTTGTGAGTCAAATTTTCTCTATAGGCTCCAGTTTGCTTTGACCACCCAAACTGCATCGGGTAAGATTTAGATAAATTCTTCTTTGTCCGCCTTTGCTGATGTTTCTCCAAAAAGAAATAAGATTTTAGACAGAGATGGAAATTCTAGGTTTAGACAAAGGAAAAGATGACCCCATAAGTGTTTGTGTTCCCACTTGAAGAGCTAGCCTTAGATTTTAATTTTGCTTCTTTAAAAAGCTAGGCCTTTGATGTGACCTAAAAGGGTCAGTCACTGCCATCCAGAAGAACTGGCTGGATCTGGGAGGTCAGGCAACACCCCTCTCACCATCTCCTTCTCTGCCTTCTAGAACAGAGAGAGTAATAACAACTGTCTATCATTTCTGAAACCCTGAAAGTAAATGAATTCACTGAAGCCCCACAGAAAAAGTTCTTCATGTGGATATTCTTTTGGGGAACTGATAATTACACACACCCTTGGATGGGGCTAAGGTTCCTGCGTGGTGCAAATGGTTTACACTCTATTACTAAACAAAATGTTAGCAGTTCAAATCCACCCAGTGGCACCACAGAAGAAGGGCCTAGGGATCTATTTCCATAAGATTATAGCCACTGAAAACACTATGGAGTTCTATTTTCAAGCACATGTGGTCTCCATGAGTCGGAATCCAATCGATGGCAACGGGTTTGATTTAGTTTGGATGGGGCTAATTTGATGGGTTATACTGAAATAACATGTAATCCAGGTTCAAGTATATGTATATGAAGGACTTATGTAATCAACAAATTAGGGATGGTGAAGTTTTATATTGAAATCTCAAACACATGTACAGCAACTGCTGTCAGAGTGTCAGCTGGTCCTATACAGCATGTAAGGATATTTGTCAAAATTGAGTCTAAAGTCAATTACAGTAGTGTGATCTGCGAAAAGCCATTTAATTCTCATAATGAAAATGGTCAGAGCATCACCAAAGAATGCATTAGTCAGATCTTGCTTAATTTGAAGGAGAGCTCAGCGGGGTGGGGTAGATAGAAGGAGCTATGCAGAGCTTCCCACAGTATTACAGCTTCTAAAGCCAGAGTGAGACATGAGGGGAAAAACATCCTAGAAACAAGGCAGAAAATACTCATCCCGTCCCTCATGTGAAGTTACAGCCACAGGTGAACCTGAAAGACAGGAGAAACCCACAACTATTCAGGGAGCGACTTCCTTCTATTGCCTCACCTGAGAACACCCTGTCGGTTGTGTGGGGAATTTGGCCCCACAACACTTGGTAGCACAGCTCTCTTGAAAATCATCAAAGGAAAGTGGTCCTGCAATTAGATAAAGCCTTTACATTAAAATCATTCTAAAAACCCAATTCTCTCTGGCTTCTAGTTTTTATACAGCCAATATTTATCACCATCCAAGCTTTAGAACATGAACAGGAAGTCAAGTCTAAACTCTAAAACAAGCCTTGTCTGTAAAGGGCCCCTGGATTTTCCCCTTTCTCTTCTGCCAAATTAGGAGGAGGGAGAAAAGCCTGTTGGTTTCCTGTCTGTGTACTGTGCACCTTTTGTTGCAGCAACCAGAAAAATGGTGGGGGCGGGGAAGGGGCGCATGGCTGCGGTGCTGCTGGGCTCACGCGCGCGCACTCACACTCACACACACACACACATACACACACACACAAGGTGCTGATCAGCAGGAGGCAGGGCCCAACCCACAGACCCAGTCCTACAAAACACACTTCCCTGAGCCCAAGATGCTATCAATGGAAACTCTATACCATGGATTAAAAACAGCTTTTCAGGGTTAAGGAGAAACACTAGTATATTAAATGTATGTTGTTGTTAGCTGCTGTGGAGTGGGCCCTGACTCATGGTGACCTCACACACAACAGAATGAAATGCTGCCTGGTCCTGCACCACCACCCTGATCGTTGCAGATTGGACCATTGTGATC